TCTAGTATGCATATAAGTTCCCCGGTTAATCTCAGCGTCCCCCCCCCCAAGCCCCCACCTTCACCTTCCCTCAGAAACTTGTCAGTCTGTTCCATGGTTCTATGTCTCTGGATCTATTTTGTTCATCAGTTATTTTTTTTCTCTCCTCTCCTGCCAGGATGACAAGGATTTGGTGCATGAATTTGTGGTGGCTGAAGGTCTGACCTGTTTGATCAAGGTGGGAGCTGAGGCCGACCAGAACTATCAGAACTACATCCTGAGGGGTAAGTTCCCACGGGCCATGCAGCAGCAAAGTGAGAGCATGTTTTGGAGAGTGGGGTCGGTGGGAGGGAGGAGGGGTCCTCCAGGAAGTTCAACACCCAGAACTTTTTAAAAGGCTTGGATTAGGAGTAAGATGATGAAACCACCTGGTGGCAAAAGATGAAACCTTCATCAAGTCTCATCAATTTTTAGGAATTAGTGACTGAGCTAATTTTACTGACTTTCATATGAAGTTTTTTCTGGCTATTAAGAAAAAAGGATATATGAGCTAGGTTCTTTATAATCTCTTTTATGGTGAAGAAGGGGACATACTAAGTGGGCTTGGGCAAAGTCTGCATTTCTGCAGAAAGCCACCCAAATCCAAAGAGGCCCATTTATTTCCTGGGAAAAGTATTTTCTCCAACTTGAGTGACCACCAGAGCATGTGTCAGAGTGCACATTCCTCGCCGGGCAGGTCCTTCTGCTCCTGACTCGGTATGTCTGGGGTGCACCCAGGAATTTGCATTATAAGGATTGATTCTGATATCTACCTCCATGATTTCATTTTTATAAAGCAATGCACATGTGGAGTTGGGAGTGCTGATTATTGTTCCAGCTCATAAAGTTAATGCTCTTTTCATAGTTACAGGGTTTTTTTTGATGCACCTTCATATAAATCCCAATTTTATTTGATCCTATAAGAAAACCTGTGAATGTTTTAAGGTAGGAATCACTAGGTTAGGCCATATGAAATCACTGTTATCAATAGTTTTGACCTATAATAAGAGAAACTTAACATAGTTTAATATTATCTTAATTTCGCAGCTGAAAAATTTGAGACGCAAGGAGCTAATAAAATCAGTCTCTCTGGTGTGTGTTCACACTGGGGTCGTGCTCAGGCACAGAGGCACAGCAAGATCAATGCAGGCTTGGCTCCTCTTCTGCACATGTGTCCCTCTTCTGTGATATAAGGAAAAACCCTCTGTTCCTTTCCCCCGGATGAAGGAAAAATACATGAAACGGGTGATTTAATATCGAGTGTCCATGGTTAGTAGGAGACAGGCAAAATGGAGCTGTCCGCCACAGTTCCAGTTGTGTTTTACCCTGAGACGTGTCCTGATGTTCTGTGCCGATACCCAGCACACTGAATGAACCCTGAGTCCTCCCTTTTCCCTAATCCTGGAGAACCACTGTCACAAAAGGCAAAAGCAAAAGAGAAAACCTAGGGCTCATTACAAAAAAAATTAAGGACACGTTTTCAAGTCAGTGTGAGTGGTTCCCATTCCTTTGATAAATGCCAAATGTGTGTGTGTGGGAGAGCCCCGCAGCTTCTGGCTTTTCTAGTTCATGGTGTTTGTGAGACGAAGGAGTTGTCTCATTTTGTTGAACTTCTGTTTTTTCCTGGGTGTGTAATGGATCCTCATGACAAGTTGTCAGTAGACAGGCTCTATTGGTGAGCTGAAGGATTTCTGTCCTCAATATAATTAAAACATTTATGTGGAAACTTTTGTGGGATATGTAGACAAATTAACCAGAACATTGTCCTGCACTGTTGCCTTCCAATGCAGCTGTCTTTCTGTGTCTGAGGAGACGGTGCAAGCCTCGATTCTCACCCTCCTGTCCCATTCACACTGGTCCAACACCTCAAATAGTGGAAGGCACCGAAATCCGGGTGGAGGAAGTTCTTCTAGTTTATTTTGCAGGTCACCTATAAATATGGATGTTCATAAGCTGAAACACATGGAAGGAAATATACCTAACATGGCCTAATTCTGAATAGTGAGTCCAAATTGACAAATTTTTATGTTTAAAGTATGCATCATTTTAACTCTAAAAAAGAAGGCTTCTCTAGCCAATGCTTGTTTGAACATATGCATGCACACACCTCTATAGAACTAATATTAAAACCATCTATGTGCTGCTCGTCATTCTTCTAACCTTATCTAGGACTGTATATGTGCATTTTTAGTGAGTCATCATCAGTGTAAACAGCTACATTCAAGGCTGGGGATACGGGCAGGGCTCTGCCAGCTGTAGTCAGCCTCCTTTTATCAGGAAGGTAAAATCTTGTCAGAAGCCCCCTGCAGACATCCCAGGGATTAGAACTGGGTCACATGACCATTATAGCTGCAAGGGAGGCTGACAGAGTGCGTATAGTAAATCTTCACTTAACGTGTCTATAGTTTCTTGGAACTGTTGTCAAACCAATGAAACAAAACCTGTTTGACCATAGGTAATTGATATAAACAAGAGTAAAGTTCCTATGGCATCTCATGAGCGTTATAACAAAATGATGCTGAATGAAACAGTGTTACGGACATGCTGTGTTTGATTTCCTGGACTCTAAGGGGTGGCAGCAAGAGAGAAAGGCATGGCTTTGGACCTGAGGGTTACCAGTGCCTGCCATGTAGAGGGAATTAGGAAGAAACAACTCATCCAGGCTGAGAAAGCCTGCTGGAGAACAGCCACGCGGTGGCCCGGTTGGAGGGAGGGAGGGCCTCCCTGCTGCCGAGGGAATGTTCAGTTGTTTAAGGGGCAGAATAAGCTTAATGGCTACACAAGACCCCAAACCGTGTGTTGTGTGAATTGTTCTTTGTGGCAATGAAAGATGGCATTGACGTAGAGAACCTCTGTCAGGCTCTCTACCTTAGGGAGTGCTTATCATTAAGCTCATGGTGGTTTATGACTTGGCAGTGTTCTGATCTGTACCAGAGGCAATTACAAATGTTTAAGAATCAGAAGGTCCGAGCACAACCAGGGAGAGCCCTGTCAACTGCCTGCTGCTCTCTGGCCGGCAGAAAGTGCCACCGAGGTAAGACCCTCACTGCAGACAGCTCTTCCGCATGTGGGTCGATGCTCCACGTTTCCATTGCCAGCACCTGGGTCTGGCCTTTAGACGTGGCTTTCCCAGGACCGTCCATGTATTGGAGGCAGAAGGTTCCCATGTGTTACCTGGGACACGAGCAGGTGCATCACACCCCTTCAGGTGACGACAAGGTGTCTGTTCCCAGGTGGGGAGGTGCGTTTGTATGGCTGCCTCACTTCAGCTAAGTCTTGGAAGACTCGGGGTAACCAGGGCGCTGTGCAAACCTCAGCACATTTTGAAGTATTTGACTGAAACGCGTGCCAGGAAAGTACCTTCTGAGAGCTGTAAATGACAGATTTGGGGGTGTGACTTTGGTGTTTTTATACAAGGAAACTATCACTTTTCCTAGGCCACATGTTGAGTCACCCCTTCCTGACTTTGAACAACTTCTCATGGAGGCTTTTTTGGGCTGTGATCAGTGGCTGGCGGCCAGGAGACATTTGTGATCAAGGATGACCTTTATATCACCTCTTTATTTGTCCAACCATTTTTAACTATATCACCCTAGATGCAGATCAACAGAGAGAAACTAGAGTCTCAGTTTTGTAATTCACAGTCCTGAGGAGAACTCCGCATGCTACCTGGGGTCACACGGAGTCCTGGGTTGGGGGAGTCCTCAGGGGGCAGCACCTTTGTTGTGGTTTCCATGGGGAGGCGGAGGAAGCAGGTGTAGGAGTGGCCAGTGTGAAGGATTTCCATGTGAGAGCCCACAGGGCAGGTGGTTGGGGGTGTGGACTTGAGCTGCTGGGCAAGGGGAACTGACTGACGTGAGCCTGGTCAAGATGGCATTCCAGAACCCTTATAGGACAGCCTGGCCGCTGTGGCTCAGTTGGTTGGAGTGTCCTCCTTTATACCAAAAGGTGGTGGGTTCTATTCACAGTCAGGGCACGTACCTAGGTTGTGGGTTTGATCCCCTGTTGGGGCGTGTGTGAGAGGCAACCAATTGATGTTCCTCCCTCCCTCCCTCCCTCTTTCCCTCTGTCCCTTTCTCTAAGATCAATGGAAAAACAAAAAACACATATAGAAACACACGATGAGGTGGTTGATTGTCCAGCGCCGTGGGGGAGTTCCTTCATGGAGTACCTTAGGAGCTCCGCTTGGTGTGACCATGTGCAAGTCCCCGGATCCAAGGGAAACAAGCGCATTTGGAGAACCCACTGCTTTCCACATCTGCTTTTAGAACTCGTTTAATTTATCTTTATTTTTGCACTCGGCCCTCTGTCAGCTCCCCTCGTAAGGCCCAGGAATCTGTTGCTTTTAGTAGAGGATGCATCTGCTGAGAAGTAAAGATAGGTTTTGAGTTACGGTGTAGCCAAGTGCTCTCCAAAAAATGTGAGCCGGCTGCTGGGAATAGGTCTTAAATGTACAACATGAAGAAATAATATTTATCTGGCTTATTATTCTTGGATGGTTATAGCTAATGATCTAAAGGTTGTTGTTTTTTTTCGATAGCCAGTATTTAATATAAATCTGTGGAATTTGTACCTCACAATTATTCTTATTGCAGTAAGACCTAGTGTGGTATCTTCTTGGGAACTTAAACTTTCCACACACATGCTGGGCCTTCAGCTGTGGGCTATGCTGGCCCTGGGCTGTGACAGTGCAACTGAGACACAGCCCTGCCCGAGAGAAGCTCCTGGGAGGGGCTGGGCATGGCCGTTCTGTGTGTTTTATGGCATTTGTCTTCTGTTTAGGAACTGCACATAGGTGGTATGCTTTGGGGAAGAAGAGAGAAGCAGACACAGAGAATTAGTCTGACCAGCCACCTTTCCTGGCTGCACCTGAAGGGAAGCTGCCTCTTAAGGGCTAGGTTTTCATGGAGAAAGTTGATTTGATCCTAAAGCAAATAATTTGTGAATCATAAAACACACCTTAGTCATTACAGAGCCGGATAAGGTCTTAGAACTCCTTTAGCTTGACCCTCTCATTTTAGGAGAAAATGTTAGCTATTTGACTTGTCCCCATAATATGTTTTTAAAAATATTTTAATGGTTGCCAATATTAAAAATGGGTTATTTAATCCAGATTTTAGACTTTTTCCCCCCAAAAACTACAACCTGAGAAATTCAGAGCTTTGCCAACTATCACTTAACTATATTTCACTACAGGAAAATAATTGCCTTGCATGTTAAGGGATCTCTTAATGAGGATCAGGAC